TCGAAGTAAAATAATTCTACGTCTTAATTTTCATACGATTTCTTATTTACCGTTTTTCTTATTTACCGTCGACTTTATGGCAGAAAGTCTTCGAATTACTATTTTCCTGTAACGAAAAAATCAGCCAGTGCAGAGGGTTCAAAAATTCTCTGGTATCTTTATATTAACCCTTAGCTCTCGACGATTTTTTGGCTAGAGAAGAGTAGAAATTCAAAGACGATACTTTTTTGAGCAGTAAATAAAGAATTGTATAATAATAGAATTGTAGAATTATTTGATTTCGATACCTCGCACACTGTTACATTACATTAAATTTGATATATTAACACTAGATTTACAGAACCCGTGAATTTAACGGATAAAAGACTGTTAATATAATATATAATTGTTTTTAAATTAAACTAATCGTTAAGAAAAAGGCACGCGATTTCCTTTACCTGTCAATTTGTCAAGTGTTCTTAGAAATAGGTACACATAGATAGCGTCCGTGAACCTAGTGTTAATTGATATCGATCTTCCAAATTTGATGCAATGGCGACTGAAGCTCACCTCTCGAGTGCAAAGGGTTAATAAATGAAATTGTACATCTTCGACAATGGTAATTACAAACCATTGAAAACCAACAAGGAAGTCCATTATGAAACGATTTTTAAATTTCCCCGTAAATAACCGAATCTTTTACAAGTAATTTCATACGATACGAAAGAACGAATTTCCCAAAATCCATTGTCATAACGAATACTATTTAAACGTACGTCGGTTCGTTATTTTTTTTCTAGAAATTTTCCGTCACGCTTTCAGAATTAATGTACAACGCGTGCTTTCCTCGCGGCAGATCAAATTTCCGAAGTGAAGATGCGCATCTGTTTCATGCAACATTTCATTGCGTCGTTTGAACGTGCTTTGGTCGAATTCAGGTGAGAGAAATTTAATTAAAATCCGTGGCTCGCGTATTTTTTCCCGCCTCTTTACCATGTTTCCGCAGAACGGACGTCGATCATTCGTGGACGAGGAGGACAGGGAAAAATGGCGAAACTTGCGGAAAGAGCAACAGCTGAATTTTATTAATGATCTTCGTACGACATTTTTCAACGAAGAATCATGAATTTCCTCCGCGGAATACGAGGGAGCGTAAGCTCGCCATTTTGTCGAATCGATAACCGGAACGACGTGAAACTTTTACCCTTCTTTCTGCTTTTTAAGCAACTGCCGGGTGCCATTAGCGCTTTCTCCTTTTTTCCGCCGTGATCTAAAAACTAGACGACTCCTTGCTTTTTATCCTCTTTGCAATAGCAGCATTAGATACTTTGCCGTTGAATACGCCTCCGAGCTTTTTCCCCTATGCTTTAGTAGCTTTCCATGGAAGTAGAATCTCGCGAAACCTTCGTAAGACGCGTGTGCTCGGAATCGTGTAGATTTTACGTAGAACTTTTATATTTCCCTGCCGCTTTCTTTTCCGCTCGTGTCTGTTGCCCGGTGCACAGATGAAATTTCTGAATAGATGAAAAGCATCGTGTATTCTTCTTCCGTGTCAGCAATTGCATCAACGTTCTCGACTTACTTGCGCGTAAATTATAATTGATAAATTATGTCGGGGAAACGAAACGTTATAGCGAAATGGACTGAAATATGTTGACTCTCGCAGATGTTTGCAGAATGTTTATATTTCACTTCTGCCTCTTTTCTACTTATGTATGTAATTACGATGTAAGAACGGAATTTGCCGTGCATCAAAAGCATTAAGTATTTTTCGTTGTTAAATACTTTTAAATCTCTAAATTAAAGGTTGCGCCATTTTAAAAAATTAAGATTAAGAAATTATACGAGAGAAACGGTTTTCGTAAATAAATAAAAAGCATCGGAGGCTTCTTTTTATATTCGTTTAAAGAAACGAAACTGTCAGTAAGAACTGTGAATTTTTCAAAGGAACGAGACATCGTAATAAGTAAACCGAAACATGGACTTTCCTATCCCCGTTGGATTTAAACGGGAGCAGGGCCAAATAATGAGAATAATAGCTCAAAGACTTCGCTTTCAACGCCCATATCGAGCCATCAAAGTTAACTCCTCGCACGATATATCATCTGAAAGCGAATTCAAGCTCGGCTTATTTCCGCGAGCATCGGTATCCGAACTCATAACACATATACACGTGAAAGAAGAAACATTTATCATCTGTCAAGAAATGTTCTGTCACGAGGTATCGGCACTGTGCGTTTTACGTGACTTTCGGTAGCAACATTGCTGGTAGAATCCATTCTATTCCGAGAATAAATCTATTATAACTAACTATAAATCTCGACTAAATCGTCGAAATGCGAATTGTAAAATTGGGAATATATCCTAGGAACATTGTCCTATTGATTAAGTGGATAAAAAGAAGCTGTTCCTTGCCATTTGTCCCAGGATCCACTCATAAGTCGCTAATATACAAAACAGATACGAATAAAACAGAGAATAAAATGAAGAAGAAACGTTACTTCCTCTCCGCTGTAAATCATCGAAACCTCTTTCCACGTAGCCACAAGCTTTTTCAGGAATTATTCGATCAGCTCGATTATACCTTATCATTAGCCGATCGGAACGGAACGTGGAGGATCGGTCTATTGCAACCGGTATAAATCCACATTAGAACTCGCGCACTCTACGAACCGATGATTAATCGCCGTCGGGTCTTACACTCGCGCTACCCATTACTCATTTGGGAAACGTGTTAATCCCCCATAATACAGAGGCGAGAATATTTTTCAGTATCCTCTCCCCACCAGCTCGTCGTCGTGCATTCATCAGCATTTCGTTCGACCTGAGCGCTTGTTCGCGCTCCTGAAAGCAGCGTCCCGCGAAAGCAAGAAACACCGACGCGGTTGTTAAATGGTAATTTCGTTTGCCTGCACGCGGGATTTATGCACCGGTTCCTTGCCGCGATGTTAGTTAATCAAGATCCGCGGGTTCGTTGGATGCTGAATTTATGGAATCCGCCGGTCCCGCGAGCTCGTTACTCTGGGGAAAACGACGGTTCGACACATGAAACCGGTTAATACCGTTGCTATTAATCCGTGTGTTTAGATCTTGGTAGATTTGTGGCTTTCTTGATAGGAGGCTAGGGTCGCACGCTCGGCCGAGTTACGTGGGATAGAGGGTATAGAGAGGGTGCGGAATTTCAGGAAATGGGTTGATTGATTCGACGTTGATTCGCTTAGAGGATTCTTGGCTTCCAGGTGACCGTGCGCGGAATTCGATCAGATGGGTATTAAGTATCCTAAATTTCCTGCCACGAGGCTAACGGAATGATTTAATTCGATTTATAATGGCTACTTCGTCCTTTGCGCTTCGATAGCGAATCGCTGCGAGTAAAATGGCAACGCGTTGCTACTAATCACTCCATTCGAATATTTTACAGCTTTTTACGTATTTCTAGATATTTTAATTTTTATTATACCAAACATATATTTTTGGCAAATTATTTTCTCCTATGTAATTAAATGCAGCTTTACCGAGTCCTCCGAAGAAATAATCGTGTTATTTATCGAATTCACGATATTCCGCGAAATAGACCTGTCAGGTGCCGCGTATTAATATTTTTCGAAGTTTATATCTGTTAATTTCCTTGTCTTTCTATATATGGTTATGTATTCGATGACAATAATATCGTGCGAAACTCGTGGTAAGGAAATCGGTCCAAACACGAGTGTCACGGGTGGGTAACGTGGTTCGTAGATGAGGCCCAACGTAAACAGATCACGAGTCAGGCTCGTGATTAGTTTTCGCCGATGTCTTCCTGTCTCGTTTACGTGTTATTCTTCGTCGCGTTCGGTCGAAATGGCTTGCCGTTTGACCGACCTTGCTGTAGATTATGGCACGCGCCATCGAAGCTCAAATGGCGAGGCAAAGGGTTAAATTTCAACAATTGCCCATGCAGAATGAAAAGTAACTAAATCTCTACTCGGGCAGCGGGCCATCTCGGACTACCGAGCACTCCATCCTCGACTTTCGCTATCCTGCTCTGTTCCAGCTCGTCCCTCGACTATCTCCATACTTCCCTCTCTCACTCTCTCTCCCTCTATTGCTACATTTCCGAGCCCTGAAACAGAGAGGCGACCACCGGGATAGAAAATGTCCCCGTAAATCATCCGTGGTCCACGGACAGATTTGCAACGCGTGTCGTTGTACAAACAGCTCACACGCCAGGCCATTTCCGTGTCTTTCTCGCGGCGTTGAATAATTTCGGCGAAAGTGGATGGAAACGAACGCGTGACGGCCCTCGTTCCACGGCATTGTGGCCGTAATTGCGCCGACATAATGCACGCGTTAGGCCGAGTTACGCGCAACTGCGCCGCCCGCTTCCACGATGAATAAAACATGCACTTATAAAATGTCGTTACGCTCGATATCGCCGAAAGGATACAACGCTTCGGGCCCTGACATTTGAATAATGAATTCACGGCCGGTCGAACGGTTTCTCATGGATTTTTAACGCCAAGTCGCGCCTCCTCTATCGGCGTCCAACTATCGCGTGAACCGGGGGTTGCTTCACCCTGCAGGAAGCTAATGGTCGAAATGGTTGGTCCTTGACGTCGGGGGTAGCCTTTGCTTTGTTCGCGTAACGAGAGTGTTGGAACGTTTGGAAATTTTCGGACGGATAATCGAACGAAATTAATTGGAAGCGAAATTTGCTCTTCGTTGCGTTATAAAATGGCTTCGAGCGTGTTAACCTCAACTTTCAAGACTTGGGGCGGCTATTTATTGACACCCGTCAATGAAAGGAATTAAATTAAAAATAATTTCAATCTAGACGAACGTGCCGAATTTGTAGAAAACTCGTTAACGTGCTACGAAAATGCAAACAGGTAATATAACAAATTTTGTTCGTCAGAAAACGTACAACGCTAGTACCTCAAACTTCCGCGAAATTTAATCATTTCGTAGAATTTTGTCAAACGGAAATTCAAGTTTTGAAATATAACGTAATAGAACCCTAACCGTATCTGTTGCAGAACTGTTTAGAAATGCAGCAGAGGCTGGCCCTCTGGACATCGTGAAGCTTCGCAAGGGGGACAAGCTGTTGAACATTTCGACTAATTTGCCGGCGAATACACTCGATTCCCCTTATGTTCTCCAGGTAACGATCCAGCTATCTCGCACAGCTGTCTCCGCCATTTTGTCCCGTCTCAGCTTCTCCCAATCTTTCTTCGGCACTCTTCGTTAAATTATGTGATTCCCTGTTTCTTTCACTGGGTCCCTCCTCTTAACGTATGTCGCAGGGTGTCGTTTTGGGTGCAATTGAAAAACTTTTGCTCTATAACGACACTCCGAAATAACGTTCTTCTTTTCTTTTTTTTTTTTTTGCATTTCTCCCTTATGGCGATCGTAACTGAGTCTAGCTTATTTTTCGAGCAATTAGAAATTTTTGGTTCGTAATGAACGTTTGGTTCGTAATAAATCTCGTAATAAATCTCGTAATAAATCTGGTCGCGACTGAGAAGAAAGTTCGAAAATTGATAGTCGGAACTCCTTGGTTCCGATACTTTCAACCGAGATTCATTCTACCGAAACGTTTTTATCGTATCATTGGAGAAGACACGACAATCAGCGACAATTCGAGAGTGAAAATTACGCGACTTCGATGCTCTCGATTGAACCTGATTCAAGTGAAACCTTTCCGAAACTCGACAGATTCTCTCGTCGACGAGTGTTTCGCTCTCGTTCATCGAGGAGCACTTTACTCCGAATGATCCACTGAATTGCGTCTATTATTTCGCCGACTCGCTGTTAATTTCGACTAATGCCGAAGAATCGAGGATGAGAAAGCAATTTCAAACGAACGGATATTACATTGTTTGGGACCACTGTCATCGAGTAACATTGGCAAGCTTTTCTGAAAGTATCGTAGAGATTAAACGGTGCTAGTGTTTATCGATAACGATTTATTAACGATATTACGAGAATCTGCTAATAACAACAAAGTTATTATAGCAACTTTTGATTTACCTCGATAGTTCTACTCTATTTTTCGCAACACTCAACTCTGTTCTCTGTTCAGCTGCAACTCACAATCTCAAACCACTCGACTCTCACTCTCAAACTGCTCCCTCCGATCATTCTTGGCATATTTTTGATTTCTTCCCCGTCACGCATACGCTTTCCTATATTTCCCTTAAACATGACCAAGTATGGTTATGTCAACGACCTGACGCATCGCGAAGGGTTTTCCCAGCGGACTTGGACTCTTCACCTTAGATCCTCGGTCTCTTTGTAAAGTGTACATGGTGAAAAAAGTACGATACTACAGTATTAATACATTATTTTTAAACTACTTTTATCTCCGTTAAGCAGGTGATTCGGTAATTACGAACTCCTCGAATGTCGCTGTTTATTCTAAACTCAGAGCAACCGTGGTGTTATCTCAGTTACTTGCTTAAAAAATGTCCAAAATGAATAGATATTTTCTTCCGAATAACGAGATTTGATAATTAAAACGATCCATCAAGCATAGAGATGGAATCTCTGACTAAACCTAAGGCACCATTCCACAACGCGTAACATTAATCTGTAGAAAAAAATATTCTAAAATATAAATTGCAAAATGAAGTATTTCCGCTTGGGGTAGACGATGGTTAACAAATTCTCGTTCATTTTGCAAGAAAAGGGGAAGCGAATGTTAGCTCGATAAAAAGAAGAACGACGAAAGCTCTCTTCCAGCCAGCGATGTACTTTATCTAGATTACAAGGGGAACAGTTCACGCTGTTGCGATATACTCTCGATGTACACTCGATGGAACTTGGAGCGTGGCTGTAAGAAGTGTATTTCCTCTTTTGAAGATCGTCGGAGCGCATCCGGCTTCGTCGGGTGTGATCGAGGCGGAAGTTCTGTGGGCTCTCGAGAGACGTGTGGCGGCCTTGGAAACGCAACTTCGGGAGCATCAAGAAGCTCTGTACGCGTCGCCATCTTTCGCTCTTCGTGAACTAAAGCGGCAGGTCGACAGTTTCAAGAACAAGTTGGAGCACAACGACCAGCTCAGTTGGCTGAGTAAGTTTTGCCATTTAACTATTAAATAGATAACAAGTATTTTCATCTAAATTTTAAATCGGATTGTAGTTAAAAAAAAAAAGGAAAAAAATTAAACAATTTACAGCGTCTCTCGAGGTCTGCAACGAGTCCAAAAATGAAAAAAGATTCAGAATTTTCGAATTGTACTCTTTAAAATTGTTTTATCGGGACAGAGAGAAATCTTTCATTTGAATGAAAAATTGCACGGTACAACTATCGTTGTACGATAAATAAAGGCAAGGAGTATTTTCACCCCCGAGGATCAAATTGTAGGCAATGTAAAAGAGCGAAGCAGGCAAAAAAGTTGCAAAGAGATCAGAATTTTCGAGTTACCCAATGTCCCTTGCAAGTTTAAGAGAATAAAGACGACTCGCAGTGTTCAAGTAATAAACAGTGGGATAATCTTTAGAATTTTTTTACGAGCAACGAGAAAGACACAGTCGAGAAGATTAAACGAGAATCGTAGTATTTTTAGCGCGGTAGAGAAAGAAAAAGGAGTAATCCTCTTAAAATGTATTTCAGCCGTCGAGTGCATATTTTCAAGAAATATCGGGCTTCTACCAACGTTGCTTTCCATTTATTTTATTTTTCCCATCATCTTTCTCTTTCTCCTTTCACCCGATCGACCACTGTCCACCGCTTCGAAGTCGATTTCAACTGGGCCAACAATCGAAATGGAATATCGAAATGGAACAAAAGCTTATCATTCCCCGTTTTACGTAATAATTTAATCTAGCCGATCGCGCTGCGCAAACATTGGCCACGCACGAAATTGCACACCCGGCGAAAGAGCTCTTGCACCGGAAAATAAAAGGCCGGATCGATGTGGACCAAGTCAAATCGACGCGTTTCCAGCATTTCCACTCTCTCGGCTCAACTCGTCCCTTCATCGGACGTTTCTTCCGCTTTTGTCGGCTCGCACAATGCGAAACGCGCTTGCCGGAATACATATTTTTTCTCTATCCTCTGTGAAACGAAACTCCGACGGAAACTTCCTCTCGACGCGACGTGAAACTCGTCGCTTCGGTATGAATCGAATTTTCCTCGGCGCGTCGAACGTCAGAGCTCGACGTGAATGACGGATGGAAAAAGAGAGCAGCGAAAAGGGGAGGAAGGGGGAGGAAAGGGGAGGAAAGAGGAATAGAAGCGTGAAAGAGGAATAGAAAAATGGACCCTGGCGCCTCGTTTTTTCCCTCGAATTCCACTCGACGGGACCGTTAATGGTGGTCGTTTAGAAAAATTTCCGGCCACTCGAGGCGAGTCGAAAAATCGTTCTGACGCTACCGATCCTCCACGGACGATGGATATACGCGCGGATAAACAGTGCATCGGCCGAATACGCCTACCGCTGAATAAATATTTGCCCGTGCAAGGAACCGTCGCAGCTATTCCTATCTTCGGTTTCTAGTCAGACCGCGTATATAGATACAAGGTTTCCCTACGAGCCGGGCTACCGACGAGCTTGACCCCGAAACTTCCCCATCTCATCGCCTTTCCCCGCCAATAGCCAGATTTTCCTCCATTTTTCCCCATTTTCCTCCCATTTTCCTCCCATTTTCTCTTTCTCTCAACTCGGAAACGAGCTGCGAAGCACGATGACAAAAATCTGGACGCGTTCCACACGCGAATTAAGCTCTCGAGCTTCTAATTTACCTACAATCACAGCTTTCGTACTCGAACCTCATTTTCTACCCTTCCCCTGTCTCCGCCGAGCTCGTTTCGACTGTGAATCTCGAGTTTCTACGTTTCGATCCTTATTCCACTCTAAATCCAAAGATTTCGCGAATCTCGTTTCGAGCCTGCTCTGCCCTGAGTCTTAAAATTCTGCCAGCCTCATTCCGAGCCTGAATCCGAACATCTACTCGACTGCTGCGACGTTATCCTCGAACGTTAGACTCGCGTGCCCTCCATTCTGTTACTTCGCTTCGTTCGGCTCTCGAACGCGTATCGAGGAGCAGCGAAGCTCGCAGAGGCATGGCCGAAATGAAATAGCAATTGGGATAATTAGTCGAGTGGCTAAGTGGCGGCGTACAGAGCGCGAAATCGCTCTGAAATAGCGTTCCAATCAATCAGAAACGCGGTTGGCCCGTCGCCTCTTGGTCACGGCACGCCGGGACGTTTTCCGGTTCAATCTCCCAGACCGCTGTCACTTTCAGGTTTCTACAAACAGCTTCCAGAGCCCCTCTACGCGGATTCTAAGAGCGACAGCATGAAGCGGAAGGTGCGAGAAAAGTTCCTCAATATCTGGTGAGTCAATAGATATCGATGCTCTCTTCGCGGCTTACCACGGGCTTCTTCTTTCTTTGCCGTTTTACGACCGGTCATCCGACTTCTTCACTGGCAAGAGCCGCCATCTCGGTCGAGACACGTAGGGGACAGGTGAAGGAACGATAAACTGGCCGATCGATTTTCTCGCCAACCGATGTTTACGACGAATCGTCCGATCGAAGGAAGAAGTCGCGTGTTTTATGCTAGATTTTTCTCGCATCATGGCGTCGATCGCGGCTGGTACCCGGTTTATTTATAGTTTCGTTTGTTATTTCGTTTCTCTATATGTCCGTGATAAATATGGCGCTTGGCTTCAAGAATATTTCTCCGGATTTTTGCCAAGTGAAACTGGAATCGTGGTGTTGGACTTTTGAATCTTTTTCTACGTACTTTTAGCGTGACTCGTTTCGCGCGTGTTTTGTACAATTGACAGGAGATTTTACGTTTCCAATAGTTACGTGAAAATAGTTTCTTTAACCCTCTTACGCTCTCGTCGTTGAAACGTGATTATTTATTTAGTAAACGAGAATATCTCGCGGATATTTCGATATGAAATTTCTCGAAAAATATCCTGACATTCACCTTTACGAAAACATTGCTCATTCGCGAAAAAGGGATAATTAGCAATATCGTAAACACACCCTGTGTAACTGGAAATATCGAAAATCGATTTATAAAAATTATTCACTTCAAACGACCGAAATAAATCAATCTGTGAAAAGCATATCAATTACTACCCGTATGAGACTCGATATTTTCGACACCGTACCATACCCGTATGAGACACGAGCGTGAAGGGGTTAATCCCCAATTAGAATTCGCGAGTTCCTCACCGCAAATAACCAAGCCGAGAACTTCTCGCAAACAACAACAAGAAATCCCGAATTATATACACACGCAACTTGGGCTATTTTTAATTCGTCATTTACGATTGACGTCCGCTGATTCGCTAAAACCGTCACGTTCATTGAAACTTACCATTTCGAATAAACTAATTTCACGTGGACCATCGCTCCGCGCCGTACGACGTGATCGAAATAAACCACGCGAATTCGCGAAAATACGAATTATATACTCCCAGAGTTCACCGGGGTTAAACCGTGGTCGATCCGTGCGCGTTTCTTTCCTGGTGCACAGTATCATGAGACGCGGACCGTTCGCCGAACACGTTCGCATCCATGCAAATTTCCACGACGGATTATTTTGTCACGAAGGCGATAGCTATCTCTGGTTTAAACGTCCGATCGCTTCGACGCCGATGATTAATTTCCCTGCCGAGGAGACGTTCGCTGTGATCCTTCGGCGCTGCTGGCGTAACACCACCTACCTGCACGCCTCGCGCCGTGTCCATCTTGCGAAGATCGATCACGCGCAGATCACACTGACAGCGGATGAAAATAATGGAAAAGAGATGAGAGAAGCACGGGGAATAACAGGAATGTCCCTTTCGCGTGCCATCGAAGGCAGGCGGACGGATAGGTCACGAGGAACGACGTCGAGTCGAGTTTGTATCGTGGAAATCATTTCCACTGTAACCCGTTTAGCTCGAGAAAATGGATAGGTCGACGAGAAATCTCTGGTAGTGACAAATAAAGATTGCGATCTTGATGGACGATTTTGTGGCAGAAAATTCGTGGCGTCGCGGAGTTTTTACTTCTTCGCTACTAGCAGCCTTTCAGATAAATACGTGTTTCCTCTGGCTCTGATAAATATCAGACAACAGGTGCGAACTTGTGCCAGGTTCCCTCTGTTTCAGATTATACTGCCAGGTTATTCTCTGGATCGCGTGTATGGGAAAAAATTGTGTATTCCATGGCATATTTCGATGTGTCCCTTTCACATTAAATTAGCGTCGAGGTTTTAATAGCATTTTGAGTATGCTCGAATGGTTTGAATCCATTTCGTGTATTATTGACTTTTCTATAACACGGTGAATTCTTCCCTTGTTTCGTCCAAGCGTTCCTGTCGTATCGAAATCGTGTTAAGCGAAACTTAAAACGAATGCGGACCAAAGGGATGTGTTAAATGTTATTTAATGTGAAATCGTGTCGTTAAAGATTGTGTTTAAATTGGAAAGCAGCAGATATTATTCCAATTTTCACTAAAGCGATGTATAATTACCTAAAAAGCGTTAAATACCTAAAATTATACAGGGAATTCGGCTCTCATATCACTCGCAAGAAAAATATTTCCAAACTGAAACGAATAAGGCAGGTGTCGAATCGATCCTTTAAATATTTTTCTTCCACATTTTTCTTCACGTACCACATCCTAGACAGTATCCGTCCACTGTACACACCCCACAGTGCGTAATTAGAAAACTTCGTACAATTTGTTTCACCTCGCGCTTCGGTAAAAAAATATTCAACGTACCATCGGTGAAACGCATAAGGGAATGTGGGAACCACTGTTCTGGAAAAATCTAAAACAACCGCCACACAGCTTTGTGAAGCGTTCTGCAATCTGTCAACTGAATCCCATTTTTCATTCACCTCGCGAACTCCTCTCGATGCCACGTGAAAGCGAGAAACCCACGAAATGTGCGTTCTCGAAAATTTCGAACGAAAAAGCTCGATATAGAAGTGGAAATGGAAACGAAGTTTTGACGGGTCTTGCTGCTCGTTAATTGCGGCCAAATGCACGCATTCGGTAGAAATCGAGCATTATCGCGACGCGCATGAAACGAATACCAATGAGCCACTGCGAACTTGTTAAGCTAGACAAGTCACTGGTTCGCGATAGCTGGGTATGATTAAGTACCGCTGATAATCCGATCTATTAAGCCGCTGTTTCTAACTGCGATGTTCCACGACGACAGTTAGTCGGTTAGAGATCGATCACGATCGGTTCTCCGCGATGCGTACAGCGTTTCTTGATCTTCCCTGTACGAGAGAGGTAATTAAGATTCGAATGTTTCGTCGAGTGGAGAAGTGCGAAATGTGGCGAAAGGCATCGTGGCTGCGATGTACCAAATGCGCGTGGTGGAATAATAATGGGAGCTTTGTGGTCGTGGTTTTTATGGTAAATGATGGATAGTTGGATGGACGAGTAATTAGTAATATCAGGGAATGGATAAGTTACGATTTATAAATTTTATTATTTTGGTTCGTTATTTTATAAGAATTTAATTGTTGGCACAATGATCGATTATTTGAGCTTTTAATGCCGTTTCGATGTCATGCTTCTGAATATCATGGGAAAAATATTTTAAAATTGTATCTTCCAGCGAAAGGGATTAACGATCTGTTAGCGGGCTTGCATTTGGGTAGGATTCTAAAAGCCAGGCAGAATTTGATGTTTCCGCGTGATCTTTGACATTCACGGTCTGCTGTTATTTTCACGATGCTTTTTGATGTTTCCATGTATCAATAAATTCCAGCTAAATAATCGAATATAGCATGCTTTCAGTTCGTGCGCGTTGAAATCTAGAAAGTGGAATTATCGTGGAAAATTCATATCAGTGTGGCACAAAAATATTCCTTTTCCTCTGACGATCCCCATACTCTCCCTCTCATTACGAGAGAAATAATAAATGGTATTAAAATTATTCGTTGGTGTTGGTTTAAAGGAAATATATGAAAACTCAGCTTTTTTTCCAAGATGCGTGTGATAATCAAGTTTTTATCCGGTAGTTGACGCATTGGACTTGTTTGTCATATAATTCGTCGAATTAAGGATTATCGTGTAGCTCGTAAAGTTAGTCGATAGTATGAACGAGTCGTAAAAATTAATCAAAGAACCTCTGTTCCATTTTTTCGCCTGACTATGACGTTCTTGATCCACTAATTTCGCCCGACTGATAAAACTGGAATGAGTTCGTTCAATCGATTCGATACCTCTCGAATCGTTCGAGTCATTGCTTCCACATCGCATTTGTATCGGTCATTAAAACGCTGTCGTCTTGTATAAAATTTAATCTACTAACGCAGTGCCGTGTTACGTCCTCTATGGACATTTTTCCCGATTTTATTGAATTAAGCCAGCGAAATATAAATTTTTATCAAAATTCCCTCGAAAATATACTTGTCGGATGTTTCAGCTACATTTTCTCGGAATAATATTACATTTAATTATTCGTTTATCCCTTTGCGCAATGCTGTAAATTGATACTGCAGCTCGATAACCTCGTTACACCACTTTCGAGAGTAGCTCTGTGACGATCTTAATTGATCCGATTAATTTCAATCAGTGTCTCGAAAAGAGAAGCAACTTAGTTTAGTCTGAAGCCAGTTTTAAGTGCTCGTTATGCCATTCAAATTTTTATGGTAACTCTTGGATCGACGCAAATATCACAGAAATTTTCGCCAGGGCTTAACAATTTATTATATTTACCGTGTGCGGCCATTCGTCGAAAACTATGCGAAGTTTTCATTGCGAAATTGCGAGTATTAACGGAACGTAATTTTGCACGAATAGATGAATTTGGAAGGTATTATAGAAATCTCGTAATTCGACGTTTCGTACGAAGTCCCGCGCTTGGGCGAATTTTAATTACAAACTTTCACAATCGCGTTATGTAAATGTTACTCGGTTATCGGATATGACGCGACGGCGAGTAAACAAATGCGTCATACCACAAAAAGCTGATTTGTATCATTCAGGAATCTTCGGATGCAGTTTATATTCCGCAGTAGTATAAGTCAATCAATAATCAGACGCGGTTCTTCGACATACAAACGAAACTCATTAAACTTCGTAATATTCGCGAAGTGTCACTGCATATTTTTACAAAGCATTGGCAGTACCTTCCTCGCGATATTCTAGCTACCACGTGTTCTCTGTCAGCGTGTTTGTTAAGGTAAAAATTGAAAACGACATTGTGGTCGTCTCGAATAGTTCTTTCTCTGTCCCCTTTTGACTTGAGGAATTAAAAATATGCTGCATAATTTCTAATCTAAAACCTGACGAAATATGTCGTATCGACGTTTTGTTTCTTTTTTTCATTTTTGTTAACGCGAATTCTTTTCATTATCTGGATA